AGGTAGTTGCGCGTTGCCGGCGGGAGCTGATAGATTGGTGCATAAATCCAGCACTGTCAGTGGGCTGTCTAGTGGGGTGGGGGTGTTGGAAAAGGAGCTATGCATTGAAAGCAATAGCTTGGATGCACGAGCGCCATTGAGGGCGCGACTGGGCCATGTCTAACAATGTCTCTTGGGGTCCCCATCCAGGAGGACGGCAGTGACCAGCGCAACTGAGTTTGCTGGTAATGGCAATGAAGCCAACGTAACGTCGGCTGGCAACAGCCTATCAAGGCGTAAATAAGTTCGAGCCTCATCGCCAGCCAACCAGGTGATACTTGCGTTTGTTCGGTTTCACTGGAAAACTGAATGTCAAACTCTGAGGTGCCTTGTCGCCAAGTGTGCGCCCATGTCTATTGTCCTGCAATCAGAGAGTGCTGATTTGGAACTGATTTCGGTCTGACGCCATACCTTACATCTTCTCCAGCCAAGCGCATTGGGGTTTGCAGGCTCACTTTCGTACGAAACCGACCACTTTCCTGCTCTTCCACCAAGTCACAAGTGAACAACCAAAGTGAAATTTTTCGATCAGAATAATAGCTAGTCAACCACATGGGGAATGAAAGTCACTCCCAGTGCCACATTGGCCTCGCATTGGTGCCTACTGGACGACCACTAGCCCCATCGAACCACGGCCTGTTTATCGACTTGTAAACCTACACGCATTACTGACACACATATGCGCTAAGAATGAGGAAAACGCCTGGGTGGATGATCGATTCATGGTGTACGTAGACAACATGGTCTCTCGCAATGCGCCGTCGACATACCGTTGAACTTTGCTCTGTGTACGCCCCTGTTGCATCAAGGGGTTCGAGTGTAGGCCATTTGAAAAGAAAACAGCGTTACCGCGTAAACGAAACAATCCAAAACGGTAACTTGTGAATGCAAATGCAGAACGTATGCGGTCCTATTTGTCTTCAACTCTAAAGAGTTCATATATAATGGGCATAAACAAGAGACAAATAACATCACAACTCTAACTAATTGAGAGGTTTGCAACATTTTTGTAATTGTCGGGGCTCTGTGGGACCCGTGCATGTCCCTGTTTTAGTTGGCATAACTGAGAAGACTCTCGGTTACATCTCAGCCAGTTCGGCCGAAAGAAACGTTGCGCCCGCCACAATCGTTTATCACCTGGCATACGAATTTAGGATCCCTCTGCACCCTTTTAGATACGAAGGTAGTACAAGGAGAGTATCAACCTATTACCAAGCATTTCATAAATCCTCAATTGAGTGAATGAATTGTTAACAAGCTTGCCTCGCAGGTCAGAAATATGGAGTTATCATAAATCCCATTGCCTTTGTCATAAAGCCAAGCGTGTTTGTAACGTGTGGACGACAGCTGAACCACGTGTGTATGCACTGCAACTTTAGGGGACATGCCACTTGTGACATGCTGAGAAAATTATATCGATCCTGATCGCTGCAAGAGCAGTATTCTCTTGCGAAACCCTACAGGAATTTGAGCCCGGTTAATTTCAATTATTTCTAATTGATAAATAGAACACTTTTCCAGCAAACTTTAAGCTTACTCAACACCTGAACCATATTTACTAAAGTGAGAATTCATAGGAACCACCAAATATTGAAAAGCGACTTGAGACTAGATCATACTTGTTAGATTACTATTGCACGATCCTGTGCTAAGGCCGTGATCTAAAGCAAGGAAATTGGTTAATTAGCCTAAACGCACGATCTAGGTGTTCTATCTGACAGGTAACGTGTAGTCTAATTCACCAACGGACGGTCAGTAATAATTGCGGCGAAACCGAATT